GAGGCACGAGATGGCGGAAAGAAATGGCGCGGATTTCTGCGCTGACTTAGTGGGTTGGCTCGGTGGCTTAAACGGCTCACGGGCTGATGCGGCTCAATGGGCTTAAACGGTTGAGAATATGGCTTTCATGGCTTTTTCTTTTGTGGCTTTTTACACTGCTTTTATCTGTAACTAATTAAGCAAAAACTAGACAAATTCTAATTAAAAATATTATGAATAAAAATAATAGAATTGTTTAATTAAAGCTTAAATATTTTAATATTATATAAATCAAAAGCAGTATTAGGGTGCATTTTCATGCACTAATCAGGGACCGAGAGGTAGTGGTGTTAGTTGACAGCGGAGCTTCCCACAATTTTTTGTCACAGAAAGTCGTGAGGGAGATGCGGATTCCGTTGACAGCCACGGGGGGTTATGGCATCCGGGTAGGAAATGGTGCTTGCTTCCGCCAGCAGGGGGTGTGTAAGGGGGTGGGAACTGAGAATCCAGGGATACAAAGTTACTAAAGACTTTGTCCCGTTTGAGTTGGGGTGCGCTGAGGTGGTACTTGGGGTGTCTTGGTTGCGAACGCTGGGGGAAGTAAGGGCTGATTGGCAGAAGTTCACGATGAAGAGTTCAGAACGGAAGAAGGATGGACCTGCCTGAAGGGGGACCCGACCCTGAGCTTGGAACAGGTAAGCCTTCGCACCCATACTCGTAAGTTCCATAGAGAAGTGGTTGGGGCTTTGCTGGAAATTTATTCGCTAGAAGGAGAGGATGGGGGCAATCCAGGAGACAGTGAGCCTAACTCCGTTCAGGGGGTTTTGGCTCGGTTCCCTGAGGTGTTCAAGACACCTGAAGGGTTGCCACCTATGCGCGGGAGGGATCACCATATCACCCTTAAACCGGGAGCAAAACCGCCTAATATTAGGCCGTACCGTTATCCACAAGCACAGAAGAGTGAGATTGAGAGGCTGGTCACAGAGATGTTGGCCTCGGGGATTATTCGGCCGAGTAGTAGCCCATTCTCAAGCTCGGTTCTGTTAGTCAGGAAAAAGGACGGGAATTGGCGCTTTTGCGTCGACTACCGAGCTCTCAACCAGCTCACGGTGCCGGACAAGTTTCCAATCCCTATCATCGACGAGCTGCTGGATGAATTGCATGGGGCTGCCGTGTTTTCTAAGTTGGACTTAAGGGCCGGATACCACCAAATTCGGGTTAGGGAGTTCGATGTGGAGAAAACTGCATTCCGCACGCACGAAGGGCACTATGAATTTCTGGTCATGCCGTTTGGCCTGACTAACGCTTCTGCCACATTCCAGGTCCTCATGAACAGGGTCTTTCAGCCATACTTGCGCCGGTTCGTTTTGGTCTTTTTCGACGATATTCTAGTCTATAGCCGAACGTGGGAAGACCATCATGAGCATCTCACCACGGTCTTGGAGGTCCTGAGGAGGGAAAGGTTGTTTGCCAACCGTAAGAAATGTTCATTCGGGCAGCAGCGGTTAGAATACCTTGGTTATGTCATCTCAGCAGCCGAGGTAGCAACTGATCCGGCCAAGGTGGAAGCTATATTGTCGTGGCCCACACCAAAAAATGTCCGCGGGGTTTGGGGATTTATGGGGTTGGCGGGTTATTACAGGCGCTTCGTTCGAAATTTTGGGCATTTGGCACGACCGTTGACCGACCTACTCAAGCGAGGGGAGTTCAAATGGACTGAGGACGCCACCGCCACTTTCGAGGCACTCCAGCAAGCAATGACTACCCTCCCCGTTTTGGCAATGCAGATTTCGCGAAGCCATTTGTGGTCGAAACGGACGCCTCGGGTACTGGCTTAGGGGCGGTGCTGATGCAGCAGGGCAGGCCTATTGCCTATTTCAGTAAGGCACTATCGAGCATCACACGGTTTCGTTCTGTGTATGAACGCGAACTCATGGCAGTGGTCTTGGCGGTACAGAAATGGTGCCATTATTTACTCGGGAGACACTTCGTGGTGCGAACCGATCAGCAGAGCCTGCGGTTCCTGATGGACCAGCGGCTTTTACCCCCGGAGCACGTTCGCTGGGCCATTAAGCTTTTTGGATACGACTTTGAGTTGCAATACAAGCGGGGAGCATCGAATCGAGTAGCGAATGCCTTGTCCTGGCGCGAGGAAGACACAGAGTTGGGTTTAGCTGCATTGTCCGTTCCCCAGTTCCTGAATTGGGACGAGATTCGGCAGGGCCAGCGTCTTGATGGGGACTATGCGGCAATGATCAGAAAATTGGAACAAGGTGAGGGGGTGGCACCTGGATTTTCACTCCATCAGGCCCTATTGTGCTATCGCGGCAGGGTAGTGTTACCGCAACATTCCCCTTGGATAGGTCGGATGCTTCATGAGTTCCACGACTCGACCTTGGGTGGACACTCCGGGTTTTTGCGCACTTATAAGCGAGTGGCTAGTAACCTGTTTTGGTGAGGAATGAAGAGGGACATACGCCAGTATGTGGCTGACTGCCCCATTTGTCAGCGTTCCAAGTCGGACGCGCTGGTCCCCGCAGGCCTGCTACAGCCACCGCCTATTCCAGAGAGGATAGGGGAGGGGGCTGATACCATCTTGGTCGTCGTGGATAGTCATTGCTGAACTATTTCTGTGTGAGGTGGTGCAGCTCCATGGACTTCATATGTGGTCTGCCACGGTCGCAGGGGGCTGATACCATCTTGGTCGTCGTGGATAGGCTGTCCAAATATGCCCATTTCCTGCCATTGTCTCATCCATTCATAGCCAAGAAAGTGGCTGAACTATTTCTGTGTGAGGTGGTGCAGCTCCATGGTATCCCAGCCTCTATTGTCACTGATTGAGACCCGCTTTTCATGAGCGTTTTCTGGCGCGAACTGTTCTGCATGCAAGGCACAAAACTGAGCCGCAGTTCGGCTTATCACCCCGAGTCGGATGGGCAAACAGAGGTCGTAAACAGGTGCCTGGAAGTGTATCTCCGTTGCTTCGCAAGTGACACGCCTCGTTTGTGGTCGCAGTACTTGCCGTGGGTTGAATTCTGGTTCAACGCCAATTTTAATGCATCTGCCAAGCATTCTCCCTTTCAGGTGGTCTACGGCCGTGATCCTCCCACAATTCACCGGTTTCAAGACTCCCCTTCAGCCGTGGAAGATGTCAACCAGCAGCTTCAACAGCGGAATGAGCTCTTGGATGTCCTAAAAGGGCATCTTGTGGTGGCACAGCAGCTTATGAAGAAGTTTGCTGATGTGCATCGCAGGAAACTATCCTTCAGACCTGGAGACCGAGTCCTTCTCAAACTCAGGCCTTATCGCCTCAAATCCTTGGCACGGAAGCCGAATGAAAAGCTCGCCCCTTGGTTTTATGGACCCTTTGAGCTTTTGGAGAAGATCGGAGAAGTTGCCTATCGCGTCTCGCTACCGGCGGATGCGAGGATACATCCTGTTTTTCACGTATCCCAGCTTAAGCCATTCAGGGGCATGGACTCAACATGTCAGCCTCTTCTGCCTCAACTTTCGGACGAGCTGGAACTATAGGTCGAGCCTTCGAACGTCGTCCGGGGTCGGTGGTCACCCTTTGGCGGGAAGCTGGTGGCTGAAATTTTGGTGCAATGGAAGGGCTTGCAGGATTGGGAGGCCACATGGGAGCTCTTGGACGTGTTTCAGGCGCAGTTCCCTGATTTCAACCTTGGGGACAAGGTTGTCTTCCGGGGGGGGAAGGTGGGGTTTGGGGGGGGGGGGGGGGATTGATATTAGGCCTCTGGTGAGGAAAGTGTACGTGAGAAGGGCCAAGAAGGGAAAGGGGGTGGGCCCAGAACTAAATGAATTGGGCCAGCCAAGGGACGTTGGAAGCCCGCCTGGGGAACCGGGAATGGACGGTTAGTGCCTGAGGGATATTAGGGTAGTATGGGGGCAGAGGGAAGGGATCGTGAATTTTGTGCATGTGTTGCTACCTGGGAGTCTGGGGATTACTCGAAAATCCACCATTATCTTATTTTCCTGCATTCTGTTTTTCTTCTTCTTTCTTCGTTACATTCCAGGGCCTTCCAGGTGCCTTGAGTTGTAATGATCAATTTCATGCAATAAAAATACATTGAGTTGGATCCAGGTTTATCAATTTGTTGACAGATTCTTAGCTAAACTCCTAGGACCCTTTCATTTTTTTTTCTTTTTCATATTCAAAAAGTAATAAGAATGAGAGGTGTTAAGTTTTTTATCATCCTGACGTCGAGCAATTTTTCTGTAGGACCTCCCCTACAGTATCATCACTGTAGTAGAGTTTAACCACCAAGTTCGGGATGGATTGGTGTGGTTCCTCTATGCCTAGGACACCATAATATCGAACCATGAACGAAGAAAGGCATGAGAGAAAAGCATATTGGCTAGTGATTGTGAGGCCCCAATTCTTGACTGGAGGGGACACTAAAGGCCTCTGCCCTTCCATCCCTTGGATAGATAGAGAGGGAGGGCAGAGCTTTTGTTTTTTTCGTGTTGTCAAAGAGTTGAACAATGAAAATAGATGGCGAGTGCCTGATTGAATTGATCGGGTCATGTAGGAATAAGGTTCAAGTCTACCGGTCTGTTAGGATGCCTCAGTTGCATGCATCACTGCACTTCCACTTGACACCTATTGTAATGATAAACGGCTTGTCTCGCCGTGACCTTCTAGATATTGTTGTCTCTATTTGTTTTTACTCTGATTTCTCTTTTTAGTTCTTCTGTTGTTATGTTTTGTCAAGATCATTTTTGAACCCACAGAAAACATCAGAATTCTTATTTTTGTACTTGTCTATGAATAATTTAGGTTGGCTTCTTGTCAACCAAACCTCTGTATACTTTTCGTTTTTATTATTGCAAACTCTTTCCTGTAATGATGTTGTCAAAGTGCTTTGCAACTTAATTTTCTTATGTTTCCAATTCTTTTTTTTTTTTGTCTCTAATGGAGGCTGTTATGTTCGTATGCACCTTGTAGGCTTGAATAATATTATTTCCTCACATTTATTACTTTGTCTTTGTATGTTGGACAGATGTTGAGGATGATTGCGATACCAATGAGCAATCTTGGACCAAATGCAATATTTTATCTTGCAGCTGCTGTCTCTGACTTCTATGTTCCTTGGCAAAGCATGGTAGGGACTAAATAAAGTGAAAATTTGTTGGGATATTTAGTTACAAAACTTATATGGCATGTCTAAATGATATTTTTCTACGTATGGAGTGTAACCATATGCAGGGTTGCTATTGAAAAGTGGGAGAAAAAGAAAAACATGTAGATGCTTCTAGTGCCTGTACAAACGTAGAAAGCATCAACTCTTATGTAAAGCCGTGGCTTCTCTCTGAAGCATGAGTTTTAACTGTGCAGGCAGAACACAAAATTCAATCAGCATCTGGCCCTTTAAACATGCAACTTGCTCAGGTGCCCAAAATGCTATCAGTGCTAAGGAGAGACTGGGCTCCTATGGCTTTCTGCATATCATTTAAGGTAAGCTATTATGCCACCACCTTTTAGCTGTATTTTACTCGATACATCTAACATTTAAGATATTCTTGATAAGAAATAACCAAGATGTAAAGCAAACAATTATTTTTTAACAAATTTTTGAGACTGAAAATTTGTTCTTGCTTGGCGGAACAGCTCGAGACAGATTCCAAGATTCTGCTAGAGAAGGCCGGTGTGGCTCTTAAGAAGTATAAGATGAATATGGTGGTAGCAAACGAGTTATCAAGCCGCAAAGAGGAAGTTGTGATTGTCACAAGTGATGGGCAGATTCCAGTTCGCCGAAACAAGGCTGCGGGTGTTGATGATGTGGAAAATCCTCTTATTCAACTTATTGTCGAAAGACATTCAGCCCATATCGAGTCTTCTAATCTATAATATGATATCCGACTATCTGAGCCTAATGGCCTGGCTAATAACTTCAGTTGTGTTAACAGTGGCACATTTTTATTTTTATTTTTATTAAAAAAAAGTATAACGAGAGCTCTCCTTCACGAGAGAGGTCTTTTCATTCTCATATGTCTATGGGATATAATAAAATGCTTTTCTTTGAATTCATCGAAGAAATAATAATATATACAATTTCCCCTTTTTTTGTTTTGTGTACAATAAGATATGGAGTGGTGTATCAGTATACAGGACAATCCCAGAATGTTTTTGCTATATACTATTCTGGAAGTAAACTGAGTAGAGCAGCGTCTAATTATTCATCTTCTGTGTCAAGCTCAAGGCCTTCTGCTGCTAAAAGCTGGCTAATGACCTTTTTCTTCTCTTCCTCCGCTTTTCTTCGCATCAAGTCTCTTTTCTTCAAGACGAGAGTGTGCCGTTTAAGTGTGCTGTGGAAATATTCTGCTGACGCCTTTTTCTCTCTTGCCAGGATTCTCTTCTCTTCTTCTGGATCAACCTACAATCGCGAAACATTGATTTTGAGAAACAATTATGTAGCCAAAGACACATGAACTTGCAGATAACGATATTCTTTCAAGGGGTTTACTATGAATTTGTGAATGTCAATTAACATTGATAATCGTTTCAAAATCAAACAACATGGTAATACTAGCAAGGGTATTTGTGTAGTCAAAAAAGTATTATTGGATACCTTTGAACGAGAAAGACGACGCGCGCGAAGATTCATCTCTCTCTGCTGTTGCTCGGCCCAAGCTGCTATTGCCATGTCACCCTGCTGATCGAAAGCTTTTCGCTTCTTTATAAGCCACTCCATCCAAGCTTGTGACGCCTGACGAAAATGACGAAATGTACATACCATTGTTGCAGTAGGAAAGCCAAAACAAGCAGTTAATACGGTTATCTACTAAACGTAACCTGCAAATCTTTACCTTCATTGGGTTGACCCTGTTATCCATATCATATTTTCTGCGTTGCTCTTCATCTATGAGCAACTCATAAGCAGCTTGAATCTTAATAAATCTAGCTTCCGCAGTTTCCCCCTCCTCAAGGGTCCCTCTACCATCGTAGACTTGACACATGAAAATTGACTGAATCAATTTGGAGAATTGACAATCGGACCAATAATTGTTAAGAAAAGTTGTAATTATTGATAAATACTAATCTTTCTAATCTCTAGATTTAAGTCCAAATCAAGATTTGAAGTTCTTGAGAAGTTTTCCAGCCAAGACAAAGGACAAACCATCTGGATGATAATATTTGGCCAAACGTCTGTATGCAACCTTTATCTCCTCCTCATCGGCATCCCTTTCTAATTCTGCATAAGGGAAAAAAAGATAATTCATCAAAAATATTGATAGATTGAAGAAATCAAAATAAAAATACATCCTTTTAACCAAACATGAATAAACTGAAATGCCCAGGGAGAGAACATTTCTCAATTTCATATATCAATCACATCGTTCCCATGTCCATAACATCTTTCATATTCCATGAATTTTCCCCCCAAATTTTGTGCTTCCGAAGCAAAAACAAGTCACTGGAAAAAGGTTGAAATTTCAATTCAATCACCAGAATTGGTCCACTAAAAGATGTTAAATTCAAATCGAAGAAAACGAAATTACCAAGAGTTTCGTAAGGAGATTTGGGCTCAGTCCAATTCGCGGCCTTAACCAAAGTCCTCCTCTGATTCACGCGAAACCAACGCTCAGTTCCATTGGAAGGCGAGGAATCGATGAGCGGAGAGAAGAAAGACGGCAGAGAATAGCGAGGTTTGGTGTTAGGGTTTCGAAAGGAAACAATAGAACGAACTTGGTGTCTGCAACAAATGGAGGAGGAGAAGAACACCCCGTGTGGCCTACAGATCGTTCTCAGATTGCTCATTTCAGAACTTCTGACCACCAATCTATTCGAAGAAAATCCCAGAAGCAATATCTATGGTGTCAATTTCTCGCAGAGGATTTTTGGGAAAATCTGTGACTTCTCAGGGTTGAAGACGTGAAGGAACTGAACAGTTTCTACAAGTTTTTTGAGAATCTGTCTGTCTGTTTGTTTGTTTGTTTTTTTTTTTTTCCTGAAAATTTTGAGAATCTAAATTGAATCTCTTTATGAGTTTAGTTGGTAAATTCGTGTCTTAATTTAAATTATAATTTATTATATTTTTATAAAAAATATATATAAATTAAAAATAATTTTAAATTATAATTAAATATCTATTTATATTTTTAATTATTTTTTTCTGCTTATAAAAAATACTCGTTTCCATTTTTTTTTTTACGTATTCTTAATTTCTGTTTATAAAAAATAATTTTATTCTTTTTCAGTTTTTTGGTTTCTCGCAGTTTTTTTTTTTTTTTTGGAATTAGTTTTTTTTTCTTTAGATTCTATTTACCGGCAATTTTTGGTGGGCGGTAGAGCCTGTGCCTCGCTGTAGCTTGACGGTTGGGACTGTCCCGCCCAAATTATTGAAGACAAAAAAAAAAAGTTCAAAGTAATAGCGTTCACTTCTTTTTTTTCTTTTTCTTTGTTTTTTTTTTTTGAAAAAAAATTCGAATATAATATATGCACCATTAACTCCATTCTTTAATTTAGTACTCTCATGTTTACTTACCAAGATTGAAGAATGAGAGTGAAAAATGTGAGTCAATTCCATATTTATTTACTTTTTTTTATTCTGAAATAGGAGTGAGATTGGTGGGTCCCACTCAAATTTGGGATTAAAGAATAAGATTAGCATTCTCATGCCCCCCATTAGAATTGAGACTCTCATTCGTAATATTAATATTAATTTACTATTATACCCTTATTTTACTTATAAATACACAATTAAAAATAAAATTCAAAAAATAATAAATGCAACATATATTTATTATTTTATTTGCCTAATATTATAATATTAGCATAATTATTGTTAACTTTAATATAATAAATATGTACTTTATTTTT